TTTGTTTCAGTTATTATGGTTTTGGGTTGATAACATTCAACGTGGATAATTTGTAGGATTTTTGTTGTTATCTGCTTTTTTTCCACCCATTTCCTATCCACGCTCCTGTGTGGCCCCGCCCACACACCTGGCCCTGATTGTTCCTGCACAGGTGTTGATTGTGGGTTCATTCGTTTGTCTTTATATTCTCTGTTGGTTTGTCTGCTCCTTGGTTTGGCATTGTGCGATGTATGTGTCAGTTGTTGGGTCGGTGCTCCCGTGCAAAATCTCCATGAGTTGTGTTTTGGAAAGACTTTTGAAGGTTATGTTCAGGAATCTGAATCCAGAGGGTTTACACTTAAATCTCTACCAAATTCTTCCACTTAGTTTCCAGCTCCCAAACGATTTTCCTTGTTGGTTTTCAAGAAATATTCTTGAGTCCGTGGCCACCGCCACACCACCAAYACCATAACAATTTGTCATTTAACTCTTTGTATCTCTTTAAGAGCAGAATGAGTTTATTCTTAATGTTTTACATTCGGCTTCTTGGAAGCAGGTTTGTGCACTCCCCCTTTAAAAAACTGTGTATCCTTTTAAAATGTTTACCACTTAAAATGCTTTATGACACACTGGACCTGCAGTTTATCACCTGTTTTATTTGTTTCCACAATCATTCTGAAGTATAGCTTAATGATTACCCACACAAAAGTTAAAGCAGAATTGAGGAATCTGCTGAATCAGCAGGAACTCCTGAACCGATCAGATCTTTTTGACTTGTGACGCACTTTCTGACCTAAAGAAAGAGGCAGTTTTAATATAATCTAAGCTGTAATTTAAGGGATTCAAAAGCTTTAATGTAAAACCACGAGGACAGCTGAACGACCACAACATCCTTAATATTGGTGCAAATGTGTCACCGAGTAAATGGTCACAAAAGAAGAACCCGCACTGAGCCGCYGAGTTGTCCACGTGACGCGCGTGACGCGCGGTGATGCAGCCGTGCCTCATTGGCCGACAGGACAGGCTCGAGCCGTTCCTGAGAGATGAAGATGGTGGTTCTGATAAAAGCCTCTTTCAAACAAATGTGTTTTTCTAACACACTTCTTAGATTGTGACATTTTTTTTAAAAAAGCGATATGATGGCGGATTTATCCACTGGTTTAAGGAAAACATTATTAGCGCATTTTTTAAATGAAACATCAAAGAGGAAACATTATTATTATTATTATTCATTCACTCAAGCAAGGTTAACTGAATTATTTAAGAGACTTGCGAATGGGTTTTATTACATAAATTATGTTAGAAACGATCCCAGATGCGACAGTGTTTAAAAAAAAAGGACAAAAATATCCCAAATGATGTCATTCATAAATCATAACGCGCGTGTGCGCATCTCAAACAGGCCCAGTGCGCGGTCCCAAGTTTGTGTTTTAATATGTCTCATGTCTTCATTTCAATATAAATCACACTGTGTCACCTTGGGATAAATGTTGACAGATGTTGAGGAAGAAGCCAGCTGTCAGCCKGGAACAGATGCGCTCTCCGAGTCTGTGGTCACGATTTCCAAGGATACCCTGATATTATGTAACACCTCGTTACAGATCATGATGCTGTCCTCTTAGCCTGTTCCTTTAGACTAATGAGGCGAACAAAAAAAATGTTTGATCAGAAATGGATAATCCAACAGATGACGTTACCTTTCAGAGCGCTTTCTACCATGATCCCAGGTGGAGCGCCGTGTTGCGCCGCGGTGAAGATGCGCTCGGAAAGCCGGCTGCGCGCACACACGCTGACCTTTGCTTTGTCATTCGCTGCCAGTCAAAAGGTCAAGGTGCCAATCAGCGGGAACGCGCTGTCCTGCAAGGATTCCCCTTTAAATCCCGCTGAAAGCTGTCGGTTGAAAACATGCAGAGGGAGCGCGGAGCTCTAACGGCATCATCACCACGGATAATCACGTTTTTGGCGTCGGAGCGGATTGGTAGATCTGTACTKGATGTGGATGGGCGCGAGTGAGGGCGCAGCAGCGGTGAGGGTGTTTATGGATCTGTGCAGCAGCGCCGCTGTGCGCTTCCTGGCAGTCACTGGAAAACCTGAAGTGGACTTTAAAGGCTGGGTGAGCAGTAACAGAACTCTGCTCCATGGGCCACCGACAACACCTGGAAACTGTTCCTTGGACATGAGACACGGAGCTGGACTTACATCAGCTCCAAAACGAAAAACATAAAGAAAAGAACACAGTATGTKAAAAATAAACTAAGCTTAGTTCTGGAGCTCTTGAATCTGTACAATGAAATCTCAAGACTATCAAGGCATTAAAGAGTAAGATGTGCCATCAGGTCTCAGCTGATCTGCCGTGCAGGTTCTGGGTTTGAGTTTGTAGTTTTGTTCCACCCCATGTAGCATGTAGGGGTGTAAGAAAATATTGATACACTGAAATATCACGATATTTAATTTCCCGATACTGTATCGATATTCTAAAGCCCTGTATCGATTTTTTTATTAAGGTTTAAAACGTCAACTTTCCTGCCAGCCATTCATTTTTATGTTGTAGTTCAGCCTCTGACCACTAGTTGGCAGCAGTGAGCCAGCCATTTGGCTCCTCTACCTCTTGAGGTGCCAGAGAGTAAAGCTGCGTTCACACCGAACGCGATTTCAGCTTCAAAATCGCAGCCAACGCTGAAGTTGGTCACTTGTGCAC